CGGATAGGTTTAACATGTTTATGAGCATTCCAACATATTTAGGTTTATTTTATCTCTGTATTTTGCATGTTGAGCATGATGTATGTTATTATTATCCTTAGATGCATGTCAAAGGGATTTGGAAACCTATTTTTGTCCAATTATACTTTGGACGATTGCTACGTGATCTAGAGTTTCTATTACACTTGTTTTGAGATTATGAACCACTATTTTATGTTACTATGGTACTACAGTTAGAACCTAATTATAGGTTTTCATTGTCTTCTTTAGGTTGACTAAGTACTTTGTAGGGACGATTGGGGCGCAACCCTTATTCGTGAACTAGCCAATACGGATTAAGGTTTATTTGGCACATATAGCTCAGTTTTCAACCTTAGTGAGTTACAGGAGTCATAGAACGTTACTAAGATAGTTTACTTTTCTAGTCTAAGAGGTGACATGAACAGGTCAGTTACTGTCTCCGTTCGGAAGGGTGATGCAACATGCCAGTTATTGTTTTCGCTTGAAAAGGTGATGCAACAAGTAGTTATAACCTGCTACCACTAAAGAGAATCCTCTAATTTGGATTTAGTAAATAGCCAGAGGTGGAGTACATATATTACTTTAGAGCAAAAGGGCTCCTCCATACTTACTAGACTTACCCTAAGCCTAACCTTGCGAGAATACAGGTAGATTTCACACAAGTATTATGAGGGACCTAGACATATATAAAACATAGAGTGTAGAGTATCCAAATCCTTCGGTTATGAATCCTGAGGGGGCTAGAGAACTCCACATTGGAGGAATGTACAGCGTTTTGGTAGGTAGAGACCAAAAAGGCTAGTACATACATTGAGCCTCAATTTGACTAACTCTAACGGTAGTTATGTGCACTTAACTTTAGATTTCGTGTATAGGAATAAGTTTCAATGAGAGTCTAAAAGTAGGATGAATATTTTTATACTCTCTTCCTAAATTTCATGATTTAAGGTGAGCATTAAAGCAGTGGTCACGATCGAGGCATGTTGGGCCGTGCAGTTGTGGAAGGGACCTTGTTGACCCGAGTCTTTTGAATCTTTTGTTTATTTGTACATGATATTTGTAACCCTTCCATTGGTAAATGATCTTTGTATTTTAATGAGTGTGTGTGGGTATATATGCATTTAAATTGTGTTATTTTAATGTATTTATTTACTTGCATGTTGTCTTCATTTTAAAAGTGGAAAAAATTTATCATCTTTTTATAACTCATTCATCGTGACAGTTCGTATATTGATGTGTCGAAAATCGAGTGGTGATACTTTAGAGATCATATTTAAATCCGAGTGTGTTTGTATATTAATGGTAAATATCTTTTGTTTGAATAATAGATAGTCTGGTTCAATTTGCACCTAATCATGATCACTGTATGATTAAATTCATATGAGATGTTAAGATTGAGTTATAGGAATTTGTTGAGGAGTAGATTGATTCATCAAGGGAAGTTAAAAAGGAGCTGATTTAATTTTATGAAGAATTAAAAGAATGCTTTTAATATAAGATCAAAAATTCTGCTTTCAAGCATTCTTAATACATATTATGATAGCTTGTGATGGTGTATATCAAAGTGCATAAAAATATTTGAAGTGTTGGTAAAGTATATACTATCACAACACTTAATAAGTAGAGTACCAAATCTTTAAGAAATCTATCTCTTTTGCTACTTATGTTGGTGAAACTTGAGTGTGTTGTTGAGTGTGTAATATCAAAAAAAAAAAAAAAAAAAAAA